ACCTGACCCCGCCCCCACCTGTCCCCACATGACCCCGCCCCCTGCTCTCCAAAGCCCCGCCCACTTCAACCTAAAAAACCCGCCCACTTCCTCCTGCACGGCAAAAAACAACGACGACGACGACGACTCTGCACAGGTTTAAAATAAAAAAAAAACTCCTTTATCCTGATTTTAAACGTTTTTAAATTGCAAAAAAACAGAACCAAATTTTTTTTTAACTGTTTGCAGTTTTTCGCAAATTTTAAACACCGGAGAAGTAAGACGAACGACAACTAGCATGTTAACAGAGCACTTCTTGAGTCTCGGGCAGGAAAACACTTTTTATTTTGATGAAAACAAAACACAGCAGATTTATTTTGACGTCGACACTTGATTATTTAAATATTTTACTCAAAAATTTTACCTTTTTTTACCCGAGACAGTCCAGGTTTTGAGTCTGTGTCTCAGTTTTATTCAAAAAATGTTTAGACTTGATTAAATCCTCATTTAGAGCTGGTTTAGGACCCAGTTTAGACCTGGTTTAGACCTGGTTTAGACTCGATTTAGACCTGGTTTAGGACCCGGTTTAGACCTGGTTAAATTTTGGTTTAGTCCTGGTTTAGACCTAGTTTAGTCCTTTTCTAGACCTAGTTTAGTCTTGGTTTAGACCTGATTTAGACCTAGTTTAGACCTGGTTTAGACTCTATTTAGACCTGGTTTAGGACCTGGTTTAGACCTGGTTAAATCCTAGTTTAGTCCTGGTTTAGTCTTGGTTTAGGACCCAGTTTTGACCTGGTTTAGACCTGATTTAGGACCCAGTTTAAACCTGGTTTAGTCTTGGTTTAGACCTGGTTTAGACCTTTTCTACACCTGGTTTAGACCTGGTTTAGTCTTGGTTTAGACCTGGTTTAGACCTTTTCTAGACCTGGTTTAGACCTGGTTTAGTCTTGGTTAAATCCAAGTTTAGTCCTGGTTTAGACCTGATTTAAATTTCTTCCCGTCACTTGCAAAAAACAAACTAAACAAGGATTTTAAACTGGACATTTTCTGTTTTATCTGGAACGTTCCACAGTGGAGCTTTAAACCCATCGATCTCAGTACAGCTCAGATCTGTGGAGAGGCGCCCCCGTTTTCAGAGCTGTTGTATTTTTGAGCAACAGAATTTCCCAAATAAATGAATAAATGTTTGTTGGATAAGTTTAAAGTCACAGTGTGGAACAGTAAAAAGAGGCAAAAATTATAGTTTGGGTAAATTCCAAAAAAATCTGCTGAAAAACGACAAAAAGAAAAAGAAAATGTGACTAAACCATCTCACGTGTTCGTCATGAATTTTCACTACGTAATATTTTTTTTAAATTCCGCTCTCATTTCACAATTTTATTATCACCAAACTCCAAAAAACGAGGATGTCCCAGTTTTTTATTTTGAAATAAATGAAATGAAATGAAAACTGTTCACAGCAACAACGTCACAAACCTGATGTGATGTTGCAGGTTAAATCCAGGTTTAGTCCAGGTTTGGTCCTGGTTTAGTCCTGGTTTAGTTTTGGTTTAGTCCCGTTCTAGACCTGGTTTAGTTCTGGTTTAGACCCAGTTAAATCCTGGTTTAGACCTGGTTTAGTCCTGGTTTAGACCCAGTTAAATCCAGGTTTAGTCCTGGTTTAGTCCTGGTTTAGTTTTGGTTTAGTCCTGTTCTAGACCTGGTTTAGTCCTGGTTTAGACCCAGTTAAATCCAGGTTTAGTCCTGATTTAGTCCTGGTTTATTATCACCAAAACGAGGACATCCCATTTTTTATTTTGAAATCTGCTTTTTACTTTTTTTTAAAATCCCTAAAATGGTAAAATTTTGGATGTTTTTTTTTTTTTAAACCTGTGCAGACGTTTTTGTGTTTTTGTGTTTTTTCCGTGCGGATCGTCAGACTCCCAAACCAGCACCACTTTTCTATAAATATTTCTTGTTTAATTGAAAAGTCAAAATTGTGCGGCGGCGAGCGTTTGCGCAGACTCCGCCCCCTCGCCGCGGGGAGGACTGTGCCGGACTGGAAACGCCGCCGCCGCCGCCGCTGCGATGGTTTTTTTCTCTAAACTGTTGTTGTAAAAAGACTGTGGGGGGGTTTATCGTCGGGGAATATCGGCGTTCGTATCGGTGCCATATTTAACTCAAAACGCTGGAGAAAAATCGGAGTCTTTTGAGGAGTTTAAAGCTCCACTGCGGGACTTTTCTGGGGGGAAAGACTCGAACCTGAAGCTGCTCGTCGCCGTGGAGATGATAGAGATTTGTCTGGAAGGTTCCACGGTAAAAGATTAAACCAGAAAACTGACCTGGTTTAGACCTGGTTTAGACCTGGTTTAGATCTTTGGACCAGTTTATTATTGACAAAGTCCTGGTTGAGTTCTAGTTTAGTCCTTTATATCCTGGAGTAGCCACATTAGGGCCTGGTTTAGACCTGGTTTAGACCTGGTTCAGGCCTGGTTTAGTTCTGTTCTAGACCGGTTCTAGACCTGGTTGAGCCCCTGTTAAGTCCCTGTTAGACCTGTTTAGACCTGGTTTACCTGGTTAACCTTGTTTAGACCTGGTTTGAGTTTAGACCTGGTTTAGAGTTTAGACCCGGTTTAGACCTGGTTTAGACTGGTTTAGACCGGTTTAGACCTGGTTTAGACCCGGTTTAGACCCGGTTTTAGACCCGGTTTAGACCTTTGGTTTAGACCTGGTTTAGACCTGGTTTAGACCTTTAGATTTAGACCCTGGTTTAGACTTGGTTTAGACTGGTTTAGACTTGGTTACCTGGTTTAGACCTGGGTTAGACCCGGTTTAGACTTGGTTTAGACTTGGTTTAGACCTGGGTTAGACCTAGTTTAGGTTTAGACCTGGTTTAGTCCTGTTCTAGGCCTAGTTTAGTCCTGGATTTGACCCAGTTCAGCTGTTTGACCAATTTATTATTGACAAAGTCCTGGTTGAGTTCTAGGTTAGTTTTATCCTGGAGTAGCCTCATTACCTGTTTAGACTGGTTTAGACCTGGTTTCCTGGTTTACCTGGTTTACCTGGTTTACCTGGTTACCTGGTTTAGTCCTGGTTTACCTGGTTTAGACCTGGTTTAGACCTGGTTTACCTAGACTGGTTTAGACTGGTTTCCTGGTTTAGTCTGGTTAGACCTGGTTAGACCTGGTTTAGTTTACCTGGTTTACCTGTTTAGACCTGGTTTAGACCTGGTTTAGTCTGGTTTAGTTTAGACTAGTTTAGAGTTTAGACCTGGTTTAGTCCTGTTTAGTCCTGGTTTAGTTTCCTGGTTTAGACCTGGTTTACTGGGTTTAGTCCTGGTTTACCTGTTTACCTGAGTCCTGGTTTAGCCTGGTTTCTGGTTTAGTCCTGGTTTACCTGGTCCTGGTTTAGACCTGGTTTGTTTTAGTTTACCTGGTCCTGGTTAGTCCTGGTTTAGTCCTGGTCCTGGTTTAGTCCTGGTTTAGTCCTGGTTTAGTCCTGGTTTAGTTTAGTCCTGGTTTAGTTTAGTTTAGTCCTGGTTTAGTCCTGGTTTAGTCCTGGTTTAGTCCTGTTTAAATTCTCTTTCCATATCTTCCAAAAACCAAACCAAACGAGGATTTTAAACGGGACATTTCCAGTTTTTTCTTGAATGTTCCACAGTGGAGCTTTAAACCCAAATCGATCTCCAGGGAAACAGCTGCGTACCACATTACAGCTCAGATCTGTGGAGAGGCGTCCCCCCCTTCACAGAGTCACTGTACGTTTGAGCAACAGAAACTCCCAAATAAATGAATAAAAGTTTAAAGTCACATCACGGAACCTTCCAGACCGAGCAGTGACATCACCACGGAGACGAGCAGGGGACGAGCCTCCACCGGAAAAGTCCCGCAGTGCAGCTTTAAACCGTTTGTGACTTTGTTCCCTTTGAATCGTTCGTGTTTTTCTTGAATGTCGATGTTTTTTTTAAATTATATTGTAAATATTTCTGGCGTTTTTTAAAGCGGCGCACGCAGACGCTCGCTGTGGAGTCTGCATGTTCTCCCCGTGTCCCGGACCACCTCAAACACGCAGAACAATCCTCCAGCTTCAGGTACTCCAGACCGGACCAGGATCCCGGCCCAGACCCGGTCCAGACCCGGATCAAGTCCCGGGTTAGTTCTGGTTTAGTCTTGGTTAAAGAGAGAAGACGGGGGAATTACGCACATTTAGTTTTTAGAGTTTTTTCTCGTGTTCTGACGTTGTTCTGTCGTCAAAAACGGGTCTGAAGAGTTTGAGTAATCTAGTGATCTCTGTCGGGCCGTATTTAAAGCCTCCCGCGCGACAATTCTCCATAAAAATACAAAAACACGACACAAAACTGCAACACAGCGACGACGTCACAAACCTGACGTGATGTTGCAGGTTTAGTCCTGGTTTAGTCCTGGGTTAGTCCTGGGTTAGTCCTCTTCTAGACCTGGTTTGGACCCATTTAAGTCCTGGTTTAGACCTGATTTGGCCCTGGTTTAGTCCTGGTTTAATCCTGATTTAGTCCTGTTGTAGACCTGTTCTAGACCTGTTTTAGACCTGGGTTAGTCCTGGTCTAGTCCTGGTCTAGTCCTGGTTTAAATCCAGTTTAGACTTGGTTTAGTCCTGTTCTAGACCTAGTTTAGATCTGGTTTAGACCCGCTTTAGTCCTGGTTTAGTCCTGGATTAGTTCTGTTCTAGACCTGGTTTAGATTTGGTTTAGACTTGGTTTAGTCCTGGGTTAATCCTGGTTTGGTCCTGGTTTCAGTCCTTGTTTAGCTCTGGTTTAGTCCTGTTCTAGACCTAGTTTAGACCTGGTTTAGTCCTGGTTTAGACCCAGTTAAATCCTAGTTTAGTCCTGGTTTAGTCCTGGTTAAATCCTGCTGTAAATTGTCCGTCCGGTTCAAACTGAAACCCAAACCTGCTCGTGTTACACTTTGCTCTGAAGGGGGAGTGACTTAGCACAGAGAGCAGAGGGAGGGGAGGCTCAGAAAACGAGTTCACACTTTTTGGACTTGTTTTTGGACAAATTTAACATTTTAAAAACAACAAAACGAACGCGGTGATCTGAATTTGTGACGTTAAAACTCCACAGACGTAAATCTCCCGTCTTCAGATCTTTAAATCTTTAAGTCTGGAATGTTCCACAGTACGGCATTAAACGTGTATATTCTCATCCGTCGTTTAGTCACAGATTAAACTCGTCCGTGCGCCGCTCTTCTGTTCGATTACGTTTGATAAAATCCTCTGAATGTTCGATCGCGTGTACAGATTCACAGATTCACAGGTTTCCAGCGCTGATGTAAATTTTCCGAACGCCGATATTCTCCCGGAGTTTTGTGGTGAAAACAATCTTAAATCTTTTTTCTGTACAAATGTTTGTGCGTCTGTAAAATAATGAAGCTTTGTCCAGTTCTGTTTTTTCTGCTTCGGTTTTGTGTTTAGCGCTTTTTTTATCCTCCAGTCTCCTCCTCGACTGAAGCAAAGTCCAACAGAAAACACACTCAGGACAAGTCCCGGTTCAGACCCGGTTCAGACCCGGTTCAGACCCGGTTCAGACCCGGTTCAGACCCGGTTAGACCAGGATTAGACCTGGATTACTCTTGGTTTAGACTTCAATTACTCCTGGTTTAGACCTGGTTTAAATTTGGCTTTAACCTGGTTTTAACGTGGTCTAGACCCGGTTTAGTCCTGGTTTAGTTCTTTGGACCAGTTTATTTTTGGAAAAAGTCCTGATTAAATTCTAGTTTAGTCTAGTTTATCCTGGAAGGTCCTGGTTTACGTTTAGTTTAGACCCAGTTTAGACCTACTTTAGTCCTGGTTTGGACCTGGTTTGGACCTGGATTAGACCTGGTTTAGTCTGGTTTAGCCCTGGTTTAGTCCTGGTTTAGTCCTGGTTTAAACGAGGACATTACAGATCACATTTGGTCTTTTCTTTGCTCCTGAGCCTGAGTTTTATGCAAATGAGATGCAAATGAGGAGCTCTATAAAGTTTATTTATGAGTCCTGCTTTGGCTCCGCCTCCTCCAGCTCCACCTGTGATGTCACAAAGTGAGAAAAAATGGTCTAAACAAGAACTAAACCAGGTCTAAACAAGAACTAAACCAGGTCTAAACCAGGAATTTAATGTAGGACTAAACCAGGACTCAAACAGGACTAAAACAGGACTAAACCAGGACTTAGACAAGACTAAAACAGGACTAAAATGAGACTAAAATGGGACTCAACCAGGATTTAACCAGGACTTAATCAGGTACAAAATACAGAGAACTAAACAAGAACTAAACCAGGTCTAAACCCGGGTCTTAACCTGGGACTAAACCTGTACTTGTGGATTCCTGAGTGTGTAGATAAAATTCAAAACTCATTTTATTTTCATTTCTTGGAAAAAGTGCCAATTTCAAAAGACGTTTTAATGATTTTCAAAAAGAATTCTATTTTATTTCATCGTCTTTACACATTTGCTTTATTTTGAAGGTGCCAATATTAACAAAAACCCCAAACTTTTAATGTAAATTGTTCTGAATTTGGCGTAAGATTGCGACGGTGAAATCTCGACATTGATGAGTGTTGTTTTTGGCGCCCCCACAGGACACACACAGAACTGCGATGGATGTACAGTGTATTTGTGGACTCTTGTATTCTTTATAAACGAGTGCTTTTTCATGTTTTTATTGTTATTATTCCCCGAGGACGAGGATCAGGGGAAGGCAAACGAGAAATTCTCCCTAAACTTTGAACTTTTAGAGCATTTCGTCAAATTTTAAACATTTCAAACCATTTTTATTTTAATTTCATGAATCTGTTCTGATGTCGTTTCCTCGTCACAAACAGACCTGGAGTTGAGTTTTGTTTCGTTCACTCATGTTTAACGCACAAACCTGCACATTTAGACTTTCTTAGTTCTTCTGTCAGGTCTCAACCTGGTTTAGACCTGGTTTAGACCTGGTTTAGACTGGTTTAGACCTGGTTTAGACCTGGTTTAGTCCTGGTTTAGACCTGGTTTAGACCTGGTTTAGACCTGGTTTAGACCTGGTTTAGACCTGGTTTAAGACCTGGTTTAGTCCTGGTTTAGACCTGGTTTAGACTTTGTTTAGACCTGGTTTAGACCTGATTTAGACCTGGTTTAAAACCTGGTTTAGACCTGGTTTAGACTCTGTTTAGACCTGGTTTAAAAACCTGGTTTAGACCTGGTTTAGACCTGGTTTAGACCTGGTTTAGACCTGGTTTAGACCTGGTTTAGACCTGGTTTAAAACCTGGTTTAGACCTGGTTTAGACCTGGTTTAGACCTGGTTTAAGACTTGGTTTAGTCCTGGTTTAGACCTGATTTAGACCTGGTTTAAAACCTGGTTTAGACCTGGTTTAGACTGGTTTTAGACCTGCTTTAGACCTGGTTTAAGACCTTGGTTTAGACCTGGTTTAGACCTGGTTTTAGACTTGGTTTAGACCTGGTTTTAGACCTGGTTTAGACCTGGATTTAGACCTGGTTTTAGACTGGTTTAGACCTGGTTTAGACCTGGTTTAGACCTGGTTTAGAC